CCACCGAGGCGGGAGCCGGACAGGCGAGGAGGCATGGTCCCTGCGCTGACGCCTGTCATCCTGTCAGCCTTGACCTTCAGGCTGTCCTCAGCACCCGCACCGCAGCCTGCCTGCACTTCCCCGCTGACTGCGAGCGACTGTTGTCTCGCTGCCTGACCTTACGCAAACACGATACAAACAGACAGCCCACCTCAGCTCCATCACTGTCTGCTGCTAATACAGGCGATCGATAGCCACATGAAATTATCTCCCTGCTCGACCTTCCTTACCGGGTGGCATATTCTGACTGACAGCCAGCCTTATTCTGGAGAAAGCTAAACCACCCGCTTGGGTTTTCTTACTGTCTAAAAGTGAAGGAACTTCCTTTTATAAAGAAAATTGACACTTTCTCAGATTCCACAGAAAAAGAAGCCTTTGTTAGACAGAAAAATGTCTCATAACTTGAACCTTTCCCAGACCACCGTGCACAGCAATAACGACGCAATGCACGCCCCAAGGCTGCTCCAAGATGCTCCACCGGACGCTGCGCCGGCTCCAGGGCAGGCGTGCTCCCACCTTGACAAATTTTACCCAGAAAGTCTTCTGCTCTGCCATGAGCTATAGGTTTCCCAGGGAGAGCAATGAGCAATGTATGGTCGCGGCAGGTGGGAGGAAGGGACGTAGCTAAAGAGAACCCGGCTTTACACACGTCGCAACAGCCAGCAAGGACTGCATGGGGAAGCATTGGCTTTCCGTCTCCCTCTGCCAGCCAGCTCGCAAATGCACGATGCATGTGGCCTAAACAGCTTTCTGAAAAGAAATCGTGACTCTTCCGCTCAGATATTCAGATTCTGATAGTAGACACAAAGATACGGAGTCATATTTTCTCTCAGACCCCTGCAGTCCTTTTCTGTGACCTGCCGACAGCAGAGGCCAGAATCCGCACCCCGCAGTCTCGGTACCAAACCCCGCTGGCTCCCGGGCGTTACGCAGAGCCTGCCCGGGGTGAGAAAGCACAATGCAGCCCTGCAGCTCCCGTCATCCCCCGGCAACAGAGACACGGCAGCGGCCAAGAAGGAATATGAACCTTCAGCCTTTCGATGTGAAGTCAACCATCAGCTAAAGACAGCTAAGTCATAGCAAAACGAGATATTTCTTTCTTGGAATGTTTTAAACAACCAACTTGGATAGCCTGGCCGTGGCCGAGTTGCCCCTTTGGCAGCACCCAGAGGTCCCGGGCACGGCGCAGCAGCCACACGCCGCCCCGAGCGGATGTACAGGCACGGGACTGGGGTCTACACACCACACGGGTTTTAAAGCAAGACATCTTCCTGAGCCCACAACTGTCCGGCCCCATGGGGAGGGGATGGTGGGGTGTCACCATGGCCAGCACCGTCAGTTACCTCCTGCCACTGACCCCAATGAAATGGAGGCTCCAGCTCTGGCTATGCTGGACCCTGTGAAGACGCACATGGGGTAACCATGACCTGCATCCAACCTCCTCTCCATTATGGGCCAAACAGGCTTTGAGCCAGGTCTCATCCCCACAACAGCCTCCTGCTGGCATGAGCCCTGCCTGTGGAAGAGGGGCGATGGGGGCAGCCAGTGTCCCCTGCCCAGTCTCAACCCCACATGTCTCAACCCCACATGTCTCAACCCCACATGTCTCAACCCCACGTCTCAACCCTACATGTCTCAACCCTACATGTCAGCAGCCTCCTACACAGACACCTAAAAAACTCAAGGCCCTGACCCTCTATGGGACTTGGGTGCCCAAATGCCATCCAACTCCCAGGAGAGCGTACAACCCAAATGCCGGTGCTGCAGCGGGTCTCCCCGTGCCGCGGGGACCCAAACTGCCCGGTGTGCTCAGTGAGCGAGGAGCCTGGTGTCCCTACAACACACTCCTGTGCACTGCATGCTTTCGCTTACCTTTTTGGCTCTGGATTCGGCTGGGATTTGGAATCTTTCCTTTTTTTGGACTCCTTTTTGGAATCCTTTTTTGTCTCCGCTTCAGCGGCAGGGGCATGAGACACTTTGCCCCCCTCGCCTTCTGCACTTGGCTGTGACCCACCAAGTAATTCTGCCATGTGTTGGCTTTGGGGAGTGATTGAAACACGGGGGGCAAGGCCAGCAGCAAAAGTGAAAGAAACAAGAAGAAAGCATGAAAAACCTCAAAATAAAACAAAAGGAAACTGAAATGAAAGGAAACAACTGAAATCAAATAACAATTGGCAAAGAAGGTACAAACAAGCAAAAGAAAGTCAGAACTAAAAAACAAACTAAGGAAGCAAAAACTTGGTTTCCATGACAAGATGTATGAAAGTAACTGCAGAAGCAAGCGGCAGCCTCGCAAAGTGAAACCTGGGCAATGCGTGTCATAATTTGGGATGGTATTTACCAGAGGATTTATGAAAACACATAATTATTTTATAACATTCCTTTCTTCAGCAGCATATGCAGGTTAGAGAGCGGTATCTCAAAGCGTATAATGCAACTTAGCAAGAAAAAAGCAGAAGAAGAATCTGCAATAGATGCTACAGCTGTCAACAAAATAAATAGCGAAGGAAAAAGCTCAGCTCCAGTTCCTCCCACCAAAGACTGGCTACATTTGAGAGAAAGGAATGGGCTACTTCTGAAATTGGAATCGTTTTGCAACAGAGCAAGATAAAATTTTCAGTTATGTCTAAGCAATTTTCGAACTGATGTCACGCAGACTTTAAACGGGTGCCCGAGGGCTTAAAGCCCTTCTGAAGACTGAAGTTTGACGCTGCTGAAAATTTCACTGCTGCAACTTGTCAGATCCTCTGGCACAGCAATTAAATCAGCACAGTGTATCGTTTACTTCTATTTATTCAACCTGTGACAGTCACACATACTTCAACTCTATTTTGTCCAGAGCTGCATCAAGCAGGTGCCTGGGTAAGAAAGTTAAAATCCCTCATTTCTGGATCCTCTACGTGCATTTTTATTGCTTACATTAAACAAGCACCGAAACAAACAAACAAACCGACTATGCCACTAGAAGCGCTGCTGCCAAACATCCACTGTGAAAACAAATTGGGGACTGTTGTGCATTATCCAAGGAAACCTATATTTGACAAAGTCATCCCTTGCCGGCAGGGAGCTGCTAGCCAAGAAGAATTCCTTACCTGTTGCCATGAACATGTGATGCACAAAAGGCAAAGCTGTAGTGAAGTAAGGTGGGGTCAATCATAGCTCCATTTTCTGCGCGCTCTAGCAAATCTCTGAGGTAGCAGAGATGTCTGTGACAGCCTCTCACTCCATTACGTGCACAATACTCATCTAGCACAAAGACCTGGCCAGGACTAAACCAGCCCTGTTTAGAAATAAAGAGACTTGATTTTAAATATAAGTTATTAAATACAAAGGCTATCAGATTTGGAGGTGCAGTGGTCAACTGTTCTAATAAAAGAAATACAAACCCAAGGCTACGTTAAGGAAAAAGGAGAGAGGTCACTCTTAAACAATACAGTCTGTATATCATCACCCAAACACAGCACTCAGTGCAACTGTTAATAAAAACATATTATGCTACCATTAAAGGGAAACGTCCTTTAAAATGCTGAAAAGCTAGGCCAGCTCATGTCAGTGCCTAGCAAAAAAAAGAAAAAAAAGACAAAAAAGACTTACACCTTTAAGAGATGACCAAGATTTGGTTACTTAAACAGTGTGAAACAGTAATCGCATTTTAGGGATGGGATTGTATATTCGGCCAGGAGCAAGAAGACTGGTCTGGGGGAGAGGATGGAGGATTACACTGAATAATGACTCCTCTGGCATCTGGCAGGTAGGAACGTCCTGCACACAGAGGAAGGCAGCTCTGCAGTATCAGAAAGGGACGTTTCCCATCGTCTTTATTGCGCACTGCTGGCGACGCGCTCTGCCATTGCCCATCTCCGCGGCATCGAAGCAAAAGGAAGCTCTGCTCACGACCAGGTTTTCTTTACACATCCAGAAACCTCAGACTATTTCTGTCAGTCCTGAGGGCCTGGGGACACACGGCTTCTGGTGCAGTGTCCACGCTCCCGAGGAGGACGCCCTTCCCCGCGAGGGGACGGCTCCGGTGAACATCGCGGGACAGCTGAATCGGAGCGCGCCTCTGCCTTCGGGAAAGGCGCTAGCGAGAACAAGAATATTCTCGTAGATTGCTTTTCAAAATGCTGCAAAACCGTCAATATTTACATGGAAATTTGGGTGCTAAACAATTGCTAAGACGCAGCTCTGGAATGCATCAAGCTGCAAAATCTTTCATCGTTTAATTGAAAAGTTCCTGCAGCGGGCGGGAGAGTAGTTGAGGCAGAGCACTGCCCCTATAGGCAACTTCTTTGCCACCCCATCTGTTACCCCAAATGCTACATCTTAGAAACAACACTGCTGTGAAAGATTAAAATATATTTTCTACCACTCAGATGACACCAAATCTTTTCTAGATGCCAAAATAGCTGCTTTGAAAAGAGTTGAAGAAATATCAATTAAGAGCTCAAAGACATAGAGAAGGATTTGCTCATCCTTATTGGGCCAACTCCAAAACAGATTGAGAAAAGAATTAAAATAATGAGGGGAAAATGATAGATATAGGGAGTAGCTACAGTGCTGGGATCACTAGAAGTGCACATTTCAAAATGAAGCCACAGAACAATGCAGATGGGATGGCACTCTGGAAGGCTATTTTTTTGGGAGGGGTATATTTGCCTTCATTGCTTTTAATGGTATTTCTGTTTGCTTTTTGGTTGGTGGTATTATGCTTGATTCTGGATTTCTGTATGTTGCCTGTTTGTTACATCCTTGGGCCATCTCTTCACCTTGCCTTCTTCACACAAGTCTTTGGTGATCAGGCATGGTAAAAATATAGAAATACCATGACTGTTCTGCGATAGAAAGATGCACGCATTTGATTACTGGGGTAGAAATGTGGTTGAAATTGTTATATTCACCTAATACATACAAAGGACTCAGTCCTCCCTGTGTGGTGAAATCTTGGCCCTACTGACATCAGTGGGAAGGCTGGCACTAATTTCACTGGAGCTGGTATCAAGCCGAGAGTTTGGGATGAAGGAAACAGGAGGCTGGATGCAGTGATCCAGCGCAGCCCACATTACTTCCTTGCATCGGGCTCTGAGAAGTGCTGGTCCTCAGGCGGACAGAAGGAATGGGGACAACCACTCAAGACCACTGCCATGGCTCAGAGGGGAAGCCTGAGCAGAGGGTCAGAGGGTCAGTGATGGACCTCATATCATACCTCATGAGAGCATGGGCAAACAGACTACGGGTGGCGAGATCCATTGCCCAGGAGGACCAGGTGGTCTCCTTTTGCACAGCAGAGGTATGAAATAAAAATCCTGCTGCTGAATGGGCCCCCAAAAGAGCAGTAAATGCTGCTCCCCATAGCCCCAGAAAAAAATCTAAGGTTTGATGAAAGGCGGTATTCAGGCAAATGCCCCATATCTTCAGGCAGGTCCTGGCTCTTGATTAAGATTTGCCTGGTGCAACCAGATGACAACCAGCCAGTCTGGCAAACGCAGCTGCTAATGGTAATATACCAGGTGTCTCATCCCAACGCAGCTAGGTTTAGCTCGGTTTGGTCTTCCAGATGGTCTTCAAGGGCATGAGGAAGCCTAGAGGGGACATTGGGGGAAGGCCATAGAGTACAGGGAGCTCAACTGACTGTGTTCAACAAGTTGAACTGCATTGAGAAGGGGACATGTGTCCCAGCCATCAGCAGGGAGTCAATGGGAGCTTTGAAGCTGCGTAAAGCAAGGCTTGTTCAGGGCTGGTGAATCACTGGCAACTTTTCTAATGGTAAATGCAGCTTTTGAGGAAACAAGGGCTTTTGAAGGAAAATTTTCACTTTCCAGTAGCTGAATTTTCTCACCTACCATAGGTAAAACAAAAGAATTTCATTTTTGTAGCCTGCTTCATGGACCTTTTAATCTGACTACTTCACACCATCTCAGCTAAGCTGGACACTCTGGAAGATCACCTTTCCTCAGTACACGCTGTGCTGTACTAAGCACACGTGAATCCCACAAGTGCTGACACATGACGGGAAATACAGCTCCGGCAAGGACTCAGCCGCATGAGCTGGACGCTGGCAGTAGATTGGGAAGTCTTGGAAAGAGTTGAAGTGCAGTCTCAGAAGTCATGTCCAGGCAGAAAGCAATGAAGACCCATGCACGCGGGGGGTCCA